TGTGGGACACAGGGACAACACGGTCCTTTTAAGGAAGGGCCCTCCTGACTTCAGAGAGGAGCTAAGAAATAAATAAGCTTTGTCTTTTCAAGATCCATCATGTTAGCTCTGTGCAACTCTTCAAAATCAGAACTACTTAATCTGCAAGACCGATGATCACTAATGGCACGCTACGGCACACTTTTGTTTCCTGGAGCAGCCACTGCATCGGTTTCGATACCCGCTTTTCAGAAGCCAAACAGCTTCAGGTGTCTTGTCCCTTGACGCTGTGTTACTGCTACTTCATGGCCTTTTCTGTTTACATGCTGTTGACCTACATTAGATTTTTTACCATTCACAACTGAAAAGCTTCTTCTGCATAAACTGAAAAAACAGTTTTACAAGTCTCAGTAGGAACAGAAGCCTATTCCGGAAAAATCCAGAACCTCTTGTTTTTATGCAGAGTGGGTTTGACCCCACCCTGGAGGCTCCCGTGTCCTGCCAGAAGGAGCTGGCATGCTACCTGGTTTCAGAACCCTGCAGAAAATTTTGCAAGAACTCATTTTAAAGATATGAGTGGTAAGCATTTATTGTTTATCCAGCCATTAACGAACTTTTCCTTCCCTGTCATTTCTTTGTCCGTTAGAGGCAAAACCAGCCCCGGGGTAGGATCACGTTTTCAACAGGCAGCATCTCAAATGCCCAGCGACCCGGGGCAGGTCACTTCATTCAGGCACTTTTTACCGCGTGCAGACCCTGCATGCAGAATACGCTCAACCCGAAAGCGTTGTTTTGAAGTTGACGCAGATAGAAGTCAACGAAGGCTGAGAGGCTGAGCATGAGCATGCTCAGCACTCCCAGGGCAGACACCCAAAGAGCCCCCACAGGCCAGCAGGCATCAATCAGCTGGCCAAGGGTCCACCCTGCTGCTTCCTACAACAGGTCCCCAGCGGTACCAAACTTTTGTCCTCCAGCACCAGATTTTCTTTAGGATTTCGTAACTTTTCACGTCGGGTCATTTTCCTCTTGTATCCTCAGGTTGTCGCTCGCGCTCGTGTCAACCAGCAGCAGCCCCCTCCGCCTGCAGCCTGACCTTTCCCGCACGGCTCTGCGCCGCCGACCTTCTCGCTCCTCCGTCCTAGAGCCTGGCCTTTCCCCCAGCAGTCGGAGGCAGAGCTGGCCTGGATCATGGGCACCTCAGCCCCGCGTCCAAGGATTTTAACTGAGATGCGCAGATCACTGCAGCTCTGGGACAAGCCAAAGGAGAATCCTTTTGATTTTATTTCTGACGTCAAAAAGATCAATCCTCTTCTGCCTGAGTTGTGCAATGAAAGCAAGGTTTAACCAGCGGTTGTACTGTTCAAAGCGCTATGTGGAGATTTGATGCACTTACGTGGTTTTCTCCTTATCTGTGAGAAAAACGGGTTGCGTGCAGGAAAGATATATGATGACCATGGCTCTCTGCATCATCCACCTGATGCCTTGGTCACAGGGACTGCTGAGGTACCCGTACAGCTGGTCTGCAACCAAGGACGGGAAGAAATTCACTTCATCTCATTGCAGAAACTAATGTAGATTAACAACAGGCTGGCTTTCCAGTACAGCTGTCGTGTCCCTTGTCCTTGTCCCTTGTGCCTCCCTGATGAGAGGGACTCTCCCGGTTCCTCAACCTCCGCTCTGCCCATCACAAAGGCAGACATGGGGAGGGTTATCCCACTGGCTGCTCCGGCAATCCCCCGCACAGCAAAGCGCATTTTCATACTGAATCAAACCGCATTCAACCGGCCGCAGAAATTTCAGTCGTTAGTCTATTTTAGGAAAACAATCATTAGCTCAGGGTATTTCTTAAGCCTGCGTGAAGGTCTTCATTCACTTTGCCTTTATTTTTAAGTCCTTGTTCAGTTTTTCACAGCACTTACAACTTTTTTCTTTAATTTGGGTAGATTTAGCTCAGAAGCACTTCCTTCCAGTTTTTTTACTTCATATATCTCAGAAATTTTTGTTATCTGTGAAGCTCTCTAAAGTGTCAGTGACTCCTGGGCACATCGCCGCAGGCAGGTGCAAACAGCGCTGAGCCTGCCAGCTTGAAGCTGGTAAAATATAAGCCAGCCACGTGGGAAACAGCACGGAGTCAGAGCTAAATAGTTCTCTTCTAGAACTGAATTGCTTCGTAAAATACCTTCGAAAGGTTGTTTGAGGTTTCTGTTTGCACTGTGCACGAGTGCACAGTGCTGCCCTCTGCTCACAGCTTCAAGCCCAAGCTGTGCTGCCAGAAGAAATACCAGCATGGATGTTACTGGCAAAGCTGGCCCCGGCTTGACATCATCACAATTTTCCTGGGAGAAGTATGGCCTCGGTGAGGGCAGGACCAGAAACTTGGCTTTAAGTACAGGAGACCAGTAAGACGAAGCTGCCCGAAAGGCAGCGCTGTAGGAAACGCTGGGGGCCAGCGAAGGGCCAGCGCTGGCTTCCAGGAGGGCAAAAACTGAAGCTGTCCCCAGGGGGCTGCCGCAGGCACCGTTTGAACCCCAGGCTGTCAAGACCAAGACGTGTCCGTGGGGACAAAAAGGCAGCAACTGCCGGTGAGAGAATCTGCTTAGCAAAGGGTAAACCTGTTGGAAGAAGATGCCTCTGATGCCTTAAAACTACCGCCGTTCCCTGCAGGAATATCATCACAGGATTTGCTATTGGCATCTCTCAGACACAACAGATTATCGTGATCCACAAAAGTATCAGTAAAGCCATTATTATTAAAATTACCTGTGATGCTAAGTCCTAATATGATTTACACATTTCATTGTAGTTTAGAGTAACTACAGTCTTATCAACCCATGTTTTTCAATCCGTACTAGAATAGGTCCTTTCTTGAAGGTCTTTTTTTAAACGTAGATCTCACGTGCAGCGTTTTTGTGTAAATACCAATGATAACGAGCTGATAAGTGACTCTTGTAAATTAAAATTGTACTGGAAGTAAAGTATCGAAAAATTATTTCTCTTTTACTTTCATGTATAATTCTGGGATTTACAACATATTGAGTTTTAGAGATTATAATAGAGATTATGTGTGTGACGTTTATTATATATATATATTATATATATTCACTTTTTTCTGTTTTTCTGTGTGTTTCTTGAAGGTGGGGAATATCTGAATCTGAGGAGGAGTCTGCCAGAGGTGAAGCAGAGAATGTGTATTTTGCTACTGCTCCTTCCCTTAAGACACGGTAATCCCAAAACAAACAAAAAACGGAAAGGAAGAGTTACCCAGACCTACAATAATCTCTGCACGCACACGTACTCTTGGCACTATCTGGCCTTTCAAAGCCCTCGCTACCCATGCTAGGCTGCCTTCGCACAGTGGCTCAAACACAGGACAAATAATCCTGACCGCTTTGCTGTGGCGGAAACTTTTTTCCTGGCAGAAATCCAGGTGGTGCTTTTCTGTAGCCAGCCCCGGGGCGAGGCGGACGGACTCCCCGTTGCAGCTGGTCTCCATGTTATAACGGTATATCAATGCACTAGCACTGGATCCCATGCACTTGGCGGAAAGTCGTCCCTGGGCAGTTTATCCGGCGTACGACTGATCTTTGCCGCGGACGCAGAGGCAGCCAAGGTGACTTTTTGCAAAAGCAGCTCAGGTCGGGCAGAGTTTTTAAATCTATACTTTGCGTATAGATTTGCGTATATCTATACTTTGCGTATATCTATACTTTGCGTATAGGTGTGCAGTTTGCACACCTCCCATTCCTCCCGTGGCCCATCTGGATCTGGAAGCAAAACAAGCTTTCACGTGACAGCAAACCTGACAATAAACCCATTGTGTCTCCAGCACGAGGGCGGAGTGCCCGGGGAAGGTTTAGCCTCGTTTCCTCTGCTGTTGGAGCTAAACGTTAGCAGTAGCTCTAGCCTGAATACTTAATCTGAGCATACAACCTCTGTGCATGTGGCCTGTAGCCCCCCACCTGCATTTATGGTGCTTAGGAAAAACGGACCGAGAATAATCCACAAGACACGTTTTCGAGGGAATTTATCTCATGCTATTTTATTCAAAAAACATTGACTACTTTTCATTGAGATACTGACTGAAAAGGTTCTTAACATATCTCAGCAATTGCTTCCTTGATGGGTGATAAACCTGGAAGGTTATGACACATTTGAGGCATTTTTCATAAGCACAGCTTGTTTTTAAATTTCAGTTTATATCAAATTAGAAATGTCTCATCAGTCTCTTAACCCATTAACTTCTCAATTTCCGGAAGTGTGCCGTCTTTCAGCTACTTCACATAGGCAAAGTGCTGGATAAAGCAGACAGGAACTTGGTTTTCTTACTCACCCATTGCAAGGTGCTTTAGAAAGACTGTAACGCATTCCCAAAGATGAATGGGCTGAAAATTCCTCATCCTGGTGACAAACGATACACCCGGGGCGGGGTGGGGGGGGTTAAACACAGAATGAACAGTACAAATACAAGAAAATTGAACAGAACAACAGACCTTGCTAGTACAGTAAAATAAATACCTGCTAGTTCATCAAAATGCAATTTCAAAGCTATGCTCCAAGATTTCTCAATTCACCTTCCACATACCAACAGAAAACGGACGTGATTTGGGAACTTCATCATCATTATCAAAATAAAATTAGGTCATATATAGCTACTATTATAACTAAATTAGTAATTTTAAAATGTGCTGAGTCCCACAAAAATAGCACCCTTGAAAAGATACAGTCAAAGAATACGTTAAGCTAGAAGGTGCTTTTAGATCTCAAACTACTGGAATTGCTGATCTGTTCACAGACTGTGGTACGTCAAGACTTACCACAAGGAGTGCTTTAAAAACATCACAACCAAAGTTTTTAACTTTCCTCACAGCTGAGTCTTGTGATGAGCTTTCAGAACACTCTTCTGATTGTCACATGTTACCAGCCTTCCTTCGTCTTTCCCTCCAGCTCTGTGGTCTTGCCATGGGAGCACAGGCCGAACCAACAGCAGAGAGGCATTTTGAAGACTCAACAGGAGATTTAAAAATTACTCACTTTCTTTATAAAATTGTTCCCTCCAGAACACTTTCTGCTTGAGGGACGTTTCCACTTCATGGGCAGAGAAGGAAGGGAGAGAGCAAGACAATTCCAGCTGGCAACCAGCTGAAGAGTGCTAAAGGAAAATTCCAGTTCAAGCACATGAAGGCATCTCACTTCTCCTCTTATCACAAGTGTATTGTGCAAAATCACTAGCTAGCTTCAGAATCTCTGTTGCCCTGAATATTCTCCTCTATACAGGAAAGAAAATGCGTATAAATGCCTGATAAGCATACTAAAACAATAATCATCTGCATAAATATATACAAACTCATCTTGTAAATCAGAACTACTACAATAGTTCCTGATTTAAAAACACCTCTTTGTGCTGACACTGACTTTCAAACACATCTCAACCCCTGCAGTGATTCATTTTCAGGAAGGTTTTAAGGAGTAAACTTCACTGGTGCATGTGTCGTAAGGGTTCTGGTCCTTGTTCCAGCTGTTTCTCAAGACTTTTGGGTTCTCCTGCCCAGCCTGCCAGCATCTAACATGGCGCTAAAAGGGCAGAGTAAGTCTCAAGCTCTTACGGTCTTCCTGGCTAGGTATGGCTATCACAGCTCTCCCGCCATACCGTGTGCCTCCCTGGAACATCACGCAGGCTTTCAGGCCAAACACTTCCCCTGTACTGAAACCTAGGCATCAGCATTAAAGGAACCAGTAAGTCGACAGAGACTAGGACTAACTTTACTACCTTTTAAGAAGAAATTAATATACAGAATCACATAAATATCAAAAATGTGTGAAAGAAAAAGTTTCTAGGTTCTTTCTTAGGTCCTTTCTTAGGTCCTTTCTCTAGCTGATCACAAATAAATGCGAAGGCAGTTGTCACTGAGTGCAGAATATCTTTCTTGTGGAACATTTGTACACGTCCATACTGGCACAGAGGTGCTGAGCTCCATGGACAATGCACAGCTTCCCGAGACATTCTGATATCCCTGGTTAAGGCTACTGAGGATGTTTTTTCATGTAAATCAAGAGATAGGCTGTTTCTCCCCTGTGGAAGCAAAGAAAAAGCAAAACAAGATGTATGTCTGAAGATCTAGATTGCAAGTAGCCTCCCAGGTTTGCTCCTGCTCAGCTTTTTGAGGTTCAGGTCAACTGAACTGGCCCTCTCCAGGGTTCCTGAGGCAGCATATAAAGCTGACCCCCTGGCAGAGCTATAGCTTATAGGAGGGATTATCTCTCTCCATGGCTTGTTTTCTTACGATGCATCAAAACAAAAAGCATGGAGGAATCCTGAGTTCAGTCAGGATATAGGGTCCAAGCGGCAATCGTAAGTAACAAGACCACTTCTGCAGCCCCATTTGTGACTACTCAGTAATCCTGCAGGCTCCTGGTATAGTCATATACAGTCACATCAGAGTAACCAGAACACAAGGATGCCTCTTCCACTCTCCTGCATGCCCTGTACGTCCCAGGCAATATGCAGTTCAAACCATTTGTCTTCCCTCTCTCTGCTACCCCCATCCCAAACCCCAGAGCAGCATCAGGTAAAAACAGAGATGTGTTTGCTTACCAGTGGAGGTTGCAATGTCCATAGGTGTGTTTAACATCATCCCACCATACCTTGAGAAGAAAAACACACAAGGGGACGCTGGTAAAAACTCTGAAGAGTGGTATTGTGATACCAGCACAGCAATCCTCGTAAGAGTGGTAGAAGTGGTACTTCCAGGAACTAAACACCTTTTAATAAATCGGTTTATTGCTTTTACCCTTCAAGGAAAAACAGTTCCTTTGCCTCTTCTGAACACATACATTAAACAGATCTAGAGTACATAAAGTAGGATATACAGCAAATGGCAGCTCCTGCAAATTGCAAACCAGAACCTGAGGCCTTATTTGGTACAGAAGCTAGAGCCGCCTTGCCCTCAGCTCAGAGTATGCTGTAGCAGAGGAATGAGGTGCACAAAGCTCTGCACTTTGGTTTTCTTTCCTGGTTCTCTTTAATTAGCAGTCAGTCAGACTGAACGAGACCTGGAGGAGTGTCCAGGAAGCTACAAAAGAAATGTGGATTTGTCTCCTCACCTGGCAAACCTCAGAATCGTTGAAGCAATACCATTTACATTCTGTGAGACTTCGAATATAGGCACAGTAGTGTCCACAACTAGTTGATCCTGAATGAGCAACAACGGCAAAAAGCTCATACTGCCAGGTAGCCTGTGAAGAGCCACAAAGAGTAAATTTCAGTGCCGCAATTCCCATTTGCCATTGGCTGAAGAGAAGCAGCAGCCAGGACAGCAAGAACGTGCATGTCTTAAGGAAAAAGGAGAAAGATTAGATTGGCCTTAAGGATCCTGCCATTTTGCTCTTACCCTCAGAGTTTTGCCTGCCAGCTATGGGCTGGCAGCCTCCCTGGAGATCACAGGAACGTGAAAAAAGCAGTAGGACAGCAAAGGGGCAGCAAAGGATTGGCTGCACTGCAGCCAACACTGCACCAGCAAGGTTTTGCTGTTGCCACGCTTTCCCTTGTTATTTCTCAGTAAGAGGAACAGATCCACAGCGCGGCAGATCACTCTCAGCTGCTTGGCAAAGCTGTCATCTCCCTGCTAACCTCAAGTCTGCGGCAAACAACACTGCATGGGAAACTGCCAGGAATGGAGTTGCCCTGTCTTGGACTAGTGACCTCTGCAAAGCAGTAGGTCTGCTGCTCACTGAGGCTGTCCTGCCCCAGAGGCTGAACAACAGGACAGAAGTTGCCTCAAAGACACTGTTTACAATGTCTGGATTTGGTCATCCAAATGAACTGTGTTTTCATCTTTAGTATATTTAGAAATGGAAAAAAAAGTTATGCTAAACACTCTCAGAAAAAAAGGGATTTTTTTTTTTTTTTTTTTAAATCCTGGTTCTTGTCCTTATGGCAGAAAGCTCCAGTTGTGGTGCCTTTGGTGATTTAATCTGGGCACAGAAAGTTGAATAATGCCTGAACCAGTTAAAACCACGGGATGCGAGACAATACCAGGCACCTATGTAAAGCCTCAGACATACATTTTTAAGACCTGTGCTTTGAACTGAGGGAAGTACTGGTGTGATCTCTTAAGTTTTTATGAGACTTGAGCAGAGGAGAGAAGAAAATGTGCCCTTTTTAAACATTAGGAGTATCTCACCTTTTCATTGTCATCTGCTTGGCACTGATTTTCTGTCAAGATTGCATTGAAATCAAGGTCTTGTGGGAACGGCAGATAGTGACTAAGCTTGTGAACGTAGGCTGATTTTTCAAAGCAGAAGCGCTTTAGGTGTATGGTCAGAGTCTGTGGCAGATGGACTAGCTTCATGCTCTGTAAAACAATAAATAATGCAATTGAAAACTAAGGAACGAACCCTGGGGAGGTGGGGTGGAAACAGCCATTGCCACACAGTGAATGTAGCACGGAGAGCAGTCAGTGCTACAGTGAATGATTGCCAATTCCACCAGACAGCAGATGCCAAACCTTTGTAGCTCATCTGCACACAAGACAAACGCGTAATGGAGCTGTGATAACTAAGTTTCTCAACTTCAGCGTGATCAGCACGCAGCCTTGGGTGTCTCATGGGCTGCTTCATTTCTCATTTGCTTTCTTAACCCTAGGTTGGTAGCACTAGGTTGGTGAGGAGAGGCAAGCCAACTTCCTGGTAACATGTGGCCACTAGAGCTCCATGGAGGACGCCAAGCTGACAGCTCATTCATTCCAGCACTGCCTTTGTTGATATTACTGCTGCTGCCATGGCTGCCACCAAGACATACAGATGTATTGTGTCCCTGGAGGTGGCCCACTGGTGAAAATGATGTGGAAAGTCCCCTCCAAGCCTTGAGCTGAGACAGTCTCCCTCACACACCTCTCTCTTCAATGCACTTGCCTCTTCATGAAACAGCTAATTGGCTGGCAGAGACCAATGCTGTAAAAAATGGGGAGCCCAGTGGAGAGCAAGGAAGAAAGGAAATCACCCTACAGTAGCCTACTTTTATGTGTATGCACAGCTCCAGTAACACATTCTTGTCTACCCCTGGAGCTACGCAGCAGTGTAAAGCCCCACGGTGGAAACACAACATAAACCAACAGAAGCTTTTCTACTGGTACAGAAACGCTACATTCCTCAGTGACTTACATTAAAACCCATGAAAGCATTCTTCTGTTGCTAGAGCTACATCTACAGTAGGGAACTTCCTAACAGGAAAGATGCATGTGGTGTATACCTAGCTGACATTGCTGTGCTGACAAGTCTTTGAGTTGTTGATCTCCTCTTAAACTGATATGGTTGAGTCCTTTCCCCACCCTTCCCAGTCCTAAAGGGAGTTCTGGGTATAAGAGACACATGGGGAAACGATTCTCTGTTTACCTGCAAAAAAGGTGTTTTCCTTCCACACTGTTCACAGAAACACATGTTGTGATCAGTCAACTCTTCTGGACGGAAAAAGCATTGCAGACAGTCCTCCTAAGACGACAGAGATTTCTTTCAATGGAATTCCTTCAAGCTGGATTTCTGTTTCTACTTGTACAGGGTACATGCAAACAGCAAAGCTACAGAAGGCATATTTTATTCAAAGGACAAAAGATGGCCTGCAGCCTAAAAAAGGGTACCCCCTGTTTCCTAACTGCTGGTGTGATTACATTAGTTGAAAAAAATAGAGTACCACATTTTCCACAGAAAAGATGTTGATGCATAAGTGTCTTTTATACCTACTTCAAAGCCTTAGACATTTTGAAAGAGGTTCCTTTAGGCTGAAACAGTATAAAATAGTCAGGGAATAAGTAAGGTCCAATGGTCCAGTGTCACCTGAAAAATCCACTGTCTATTTGTGGCAGCATCTACATAGCCACCATCACTGCTGTATCTGGATATCAAACAGCAGTACTGATTTAACAGTAAAAGAACACTGTACTGGGCAAACGTAGCGTGTCTGGCCAGGGATTACAAGTTATCTAGGGCACCTCACTGTGGTATCTAAGGTCTCACAGGCACACATCACTGTGTAGTATAAGTCTTTGAGTCTTACAGAGTATTTAGTCAACACTCTTTTTAGAAAGGCGATTCAAAGACTTAATTTTCCATCCCCCAAATCAAACAAATTTTTTGAGACACTTAGAACCCTTCAAAACAAAGAAGAAATGTGAATGAGAAAAGATCACCTCAAAGCCCAAGACACCCTGCAGAGACTCTTGCAGAGATTCTAGATGAGTCCCAGAAGACACCAGTGCTGCAAGGAGAAGGCTCCCACAGCGAACAGAGGGGAATCTTCTTCCTAAGGAAACAGTGCTGCCGCTGAACTCACCAGAGTCTTCAGCATGTGAGAATTGGAATCCAACACTGGGAGTGGAAGGGTTAACATGCTGCTGTTCCTCTTTGTTTCAGAAGAGCATTTCTGACAGGCCAGGTGCTCCTGTACACAGATAGTGTACAAGTAACTCAGCTCTTCAACCTGGAGGGGTGAAAAAAGGCCAAAACAAGGTTTATGAAGAACACAGCTGAGGTAATTCCCTCTGTGGGTGGGAAAGCCTGTGTGGACATGTTACTTCACACAATGTTACTGCTGTAAGGCTTGAACCCAGATCTGACATTGACTTATGTGGACAGGGCACTTCCCACCATTTAAATGACAACAACTCCTTCCCCTCATCCCCTAGCAGAGGGGAAAGACACAGAATATAACAAGATCAGAGAGTTAAACGTCTGCTTTGATACAGAATTTTATTGTTTTGTTTGGAACTGCAACAGGAGCCTGTCTTCTGTATGAATAAAACTATGACAGTGGGTGAGGAAGAGTCACTTTTCTCTTACCTTACATAGCTCCCCTGGGAGGAACTGTCATATACATAACATACTAACAGTGACTAATTATAATGAAATGCACATGGCTGACTTCAAAGAACACAGGAGCTGTGTCAAGATGTGCCAATGAATGCTTAAAGAAATTTGGGGAAAAAAGAAATGCAAGGTAACTAAATTCAGTGTTGCAAGAAGATCAATCTTTTTATTATTAATCAACTCTCCCATTAGAACGGAGACCCTAGCATGCCCTAAAAGTAGGATGAACAAAAGTTAACTGTCTTTCAAAATGTTGAAGCCTATAAAATCAAGATTCCTTCTCCCATTTGAAAGATGAAAGATTCAAATAGGTGATAATTTTAAGAATTTCATTTAGGATAATTGTCAATGAATGGGATTCTTCTTCAAGAAGCAGAGGAAACAACACATGACAAGGGCCAAAGGACCTGGTGTTCATTTTGGTGACTCTCCTTACCAGCTCTGGCTTTTTCATCTGCCTCTTTATCAAGTTCCAGAGAGTCAGAAAGAGCTGGGCAGCATCATACTGCACAAACACTGGACAAACAGAAAACACAACCTCAGTCAGCATTATGAACAGCACCAAGCACAGATTTCCCACAGATGGCAAAGGAAGATTTATTGTCCCCCATTAGATCCAGTCCCTTGGTCCCTTGCCACTCCCTGCCAGGGACAGAGCTTAGACTGGAGATGAGCTGCAATGTCTCTGTGTGACCTGAGCAGGCAGTGGGAAAAGATGGGAGGGCCTGAGTGCCCCATTGTACAACCCAGTGCAAAAGTCGTGTCCTTGTCACCAGACACAGGGCCAAGAGTATACCCAATACCTACCGGAGGATAGGGCTCAGATATCTCATTGAGTTGAGGGTTGCATTTATTTGAGTCCTTCTTAGAAACAATACAGGGAAGATTTTGTTCTCTTTTTCACCTTCGTGACTCCACAGACTTGTCTACCTCATCCCCTCGCTAAGGCTGTAACACTCCTGAGTGCCGAGATAAAAATGACAGGGAGGCCTATCCACGTCTCATCCACAGAATGGTATAAACCCCTTGATCCCTACCCAGGGAAAAAGCACACAGTTTCAGCACAGAAAGCCAAGGATGATGTAGTAACATTATGCTTTGGCTTTCCACTCTGGCTAAACTGGCATATTAAGAAACCTAAGACGGTGGGATACAGCTCAAGGCACAGCTTGCTTAGAATGGCTCAGCAGAGAATTGCTTCAAGATTGAACTTGGAAGGGGGGGGGGGGGGGAATACGCACACTTCTATAGGGAAAAACAACACCCTTGAATGCGAAGAACTAATGTTCTCAGCCCACGACGAACTCAAGATTTAGGAACTGGGCAAAAACTACACATAGTTTAGCAAAATCTTGATATTTCTGGACTAACTCTATGCTTGATCATAGGTGAAACACATTTTATGGAATAATCCAACACCCTGAGGTGGAAGTGCTTTCAACTTCCCTGCAAGTCTGCAGGTACTGACTTCAGCTGGGTTCTAGTAAGATTACAGACATCCCTGACTAAATGAAGCTCAGAAAATACACCTCTCCTCATGTCTAATAGCACATCTGCAATCCAGGTAAAGCACCACTTGCTGGGATATAGGACTTTGTGAACCACACCTGAATTTTAAATCAGGAGGACAAGGTGGGAAACTGTCAAGCTTTACAAACTCTCTTTGGGCATCTCTTTAATTGGAAGAGAGCAGGCAAAATGCAGAGCCATTCAGTCTCAGGGGGAAAAATGATGCAAACAGAAATATTCAGCTTATCTCATCTTCCTCCTTAATATAGCTTTGGTCTGGTGTCATGGTTTAACCCCAGCCAGCAACTAAGCACCCCACAGCCGCTCACTCACTCCTCCCTGGTGGGATGGGGGAGAGAACTGGAAGGGTAAAAGTGAGAAAACTCATGGGTTGAGATAAAGACAGTTTAATAGGGAAAGCAAAAGCCACACACACAAGCAAAGCAAAGAAAAACAAGGAATTCATTCACTACTTCCCATCGGCAGGCAGGTGTTCAGCCATCTCCAGGAAAGAAGGGCTCCATCATGTGTAACGGTTACTTGGAAAGACAAACACCATCACTCGAAACATCCCTCCCTCCCTTCCTTCTTCCCCCAGCTGTATATGCTGAGCATGACATCATATGGTATGGAATATCCCTTTGGTCAGTTGGGGTCAGCTGTCCCGGCTGTGTCCCCTCCCAACTTCTCACTGGTGGGCACCCCCAGCCTACTCACTGGTGGAGTGGTGTGAGAGGCAGAAAAGGCCTTGACTCTGTGTCAGCACTGCTCAGCAGTAGCTGAAACATCCCTGTGTTATCAACAGGGATAAGTTGATTTGTGTTTCCAGCACAAATCCAAAACATAGCCCCATACTAGCTACTATGAAGAAAACTAACTCCACCCCGGCGAAAACCAGCACAGCTGGCTACCATCTGTCCCTTTCAGTGCTGTCCTGTTTTGGCTTTTATATGATAAAGATCAGGGCATTTGGATATACTGTGTGTATTTGTACACATAAACAGACCCTCAGCAGCCCATTGTCACCGGTCACCCATGCATTTAACAATCTCTCTCCTTTGGGACCCTGCCCACGTGGGAGGTTAAGCCAGCAAATTCTTCTCTGTGCCCTTATAACAAGGAACAGGAAGGATATGGTTTCTATCCTTGGGTATCTGGGGGAACTCGGTATCTTTTCCACATGATCTCTTCCTTCTAATAAGAAATAGCAGTTGTTTCACTATTATCATGCCAGCATAGCAAGACAAATCAAGATATAAGCTGTCCTCTCTCTGCCCTGCACAGCCCTTTCCCTCTGGCCAGTATCAGTGGCTGAGTCTTCTAGCAGTCTGATAGTCTCACTCTTTGAACATCAGCAAGGATATCCGGCAGGGGCTTTTTCTCCCCTCTTCACAAGTAAGACACAGCATCTCACTCACAACTGGGAGGCGGCTATAAAGAGCACTACGTCATTGTGTACTTAACTCCTCACACTTCTGAATCTCTGAATGAGATGTCAGAGTCTGCACTGCTTGTTAGTGCTTGATAATTAACACCTGCATCTGGTCTGCAGGCAGAGGTGGGCATGAGGCGGTGCTGCTTACAGTTCACTCTGTACGCCGAAAGACAGTAAGCGAGGTCTATGGGAGAAACAGCTTTCCGCTTGCCACACTGCATCTCCTCCAACAGCAGGAGCATTTGGTATGGGACACTCCTCCTCTTCTGCACAGCACGTGGTGGCACTGTGATCCTATAAAGAGAAGAAGCAACGTGAATGGTAATCAAGTGGTACAATGGGGAAATATTGGACAAGATACCTGAAGGAGCAGAGGTGGATAGCACAGATAGCAACTCAAGAGGAAGCAGAATGGGCATGTTTTTAGCAAAAGAAGGAAAAAGGGGAAGCAGACACCTGCACTAGCTCATCCCACAGTGCAGGCTGACAGTTCTAAAGTAAAAGGCCACAATTTTAAGCTGGCCTGTTCATGAATAAGGGGCAAACCGAGCAGGACCCAAAGTGCTTTCTGGGCTCTAGAAACAACACTAGCCACAACCAGTTTCAGAGCTGTTCTTGCCTCCCACCTGTTCATGCCTTCATTCCCAAGATACCCTCAAAATTTCATGGGCTTGTATATCATAATGCTCGTACTTCAACTATATGCCAACTGGAAAGCTCTTTATCCTCCCTAAATTTATTGCAGTCCACAGGTTTTTCTAAGTCTTTCTTCAAATAACAATGGTAATGCACTGTCTACATTATTTAGCTTTGCCCATTTATGACACTTCTCATCTCTGCGTGCCTGTAACTTGTCTTCTTCCCCCTCTGCACACTGGTGAGTGTGTAAGAAATTTGGAGAAAGGAATAGGAATGATCCACTCAGATGACTAAAGCTGCAGTGAACCGAGTAAACTGAAAACAAATCAAACCAGTTATTAGTGTGGTTGGTAGGAAGGTGGAAGCCCAAATCCTGCTCACAAACAAGTCGACAGTACAGTCAAGCGAAACAAAATAACACTATATATTTGCTATCTGCAACAACACTTACTCTTCTCTATCAGGTGCTAGCCAGGACAATCAGGGGCCAGAGGCTATGGATCACATGTTTATGTTTACATGCTTAAAGTTACAAAATTCATAGTGGATATGGTTACGCATGACACATCCTTTAGTTATAATGGCCTATGAGTATACCTGGAATAAAATCGTACCCCGTTATGGAAAAGAGTGATACAAGTCATAAAGACTCAGTTCAGGACTGCAGCTTATTGGTGTGCAAACAGCACATGAATCAGAGATGACTAACAAGTCAGAAAACTGCAACTCCTACCTTTGCAGGCCCTAGTTTGTATATGACAGACACAACAAGACAGAGTCCTTGCTGAGTGAGCTGAAAGCACCTTGCTAGCACCTTGATGATCCAAGCCTTCAAATGTACATCCTGACCTTATTGCAGCCTATCAGTACTTAAAGGGGGCTTATAAAAAAGATGGCAGCAGATGTTTTAGCAGGGCCTGTTGCAACAGGACAAGGGGGAATGGCTTTAAACTAAAGGGGGGTAGATATAGACTAGATATAAGGAAGAAATTTTTTACGCTGAGGGTGGTGAAACACTGGCACAGGTTGCCCAGAGAGGTGGTGGATGCCCCGTCCCTGGAAACATTCAAGGTCAGGTTGGAGGGGGCTCTGAGCAACCTGATCTAGTTGAAGATGTCCCTGCCCACGGCAGGGGGGTTGGACTAGATGACCTTTAGAGGTCCCTTCCAACCCAAACTATTCTATGATTCTATGACAACAGAGCAACAATGGAAGTATCTCAGGTAGTTCTAATGGGTGGTACCTTCGAAGTATCCCAGTGAAGCGTATATTCATGAGAAACACTTGGAGCAGAGAGTTCAGACAGCAGGTCTGTCCAACGTTGTACAGTCCAACAGCTCCTGTAGGCACAGAAAAAAAGGAAGTGAGACCTGGAGATAGATACAAGAAAAGAAAGTGAAAATTATTTTAACGTGGCAAAGTCCTCTTGCACATATTCAGCCACTTGGTGCATAGGCCCAGCACCTTGGTCAGATCTGAGAAACTGTTCAATCTATTCTTATGTTCCTGAAGCAGATAACATTTATTTTTGTTTAGCAACTGACAGGAAAAATCCAAGTAAGCCTGGATTATGATACTCAGATGTCTCCCAGTCCCTCTATTTTCAGTCCTCTCATAACACATCGAAACATAAAATTAAAAAAAACCCAGAAGTCAAAGGCTGCCTGTATGAGGATTTTTATTCAGCCTTTTACACAGCCAGGCCTAATAACAAAATAAAGAGCTACATGTGGGACCACATGCTAGCTGTCCACCACACAGGCTTTAAGTTTTCCCTTCATCCTACCTCTGGTATTCTTTGTCTCTGTTTCAAAGAAAGGAACTAGCCTGAGAGAATTGGAAAAAGTAAGTCACAGCTGTTCACATTGCACCTAAAGAGACAGCATATTCTGTGCCCCGAAGGGGTATAAGTAATCGTGGTCAGAAATCAGTTTTTCTTCTGAAGTCATCACCAAAGGGAGAGAGGACATGGAACGGAAACTCAGAACAACTCTGAAATGCATACAGTCGGTGGTAAGGGTGAGCTATAGCTGGGATAGAACAGTACGTACACCTGAATGACAGCTTTTTGAGAGGCCAGTCTAGTGATGCAGCAGAGTAACTAGGGCCTACTCCATGGTTTAGCAAATCCAGAAGCAATGCTGGCTGTGTTTGGAAAGATCTAGACCTTTTGGCTGCAATGGCCAATCTGAGGACTTAAAAGTGGAAGAAGCTCTGAGATCCTCATGTAATCCCATTCAAAAAACCAAGATGGTTACTTGGCAGGGCAAAATGAGAATTGTCTATATATTCCTCAGTGAAGAGGTAAAGAATATGAGAAAATGAAGCCTAAGGACAGAGAATGGAACAGCAGGCATTAGAAATAGAAAATATGAGAGTGAAGAATAGACAAAACATTATTACCATTTTTTAAGTCTGCCACGCCAAAGACTGATGTTAGCCTCTGGTCTTTGGCTTCCTCTTCATTATTGTGTACTTCCGCTTCTGCCTTCATGGTCTCACTTAGTGTCAGCTCTAATTTCTTGCTTCTTCCTTGACGCCCACTTCTTTGTCCCATCAACAATATTGTACAAAGACAGAAGGACTGCAGAAAGACATAGAAAGATCAGAAAGAGGGGGAGCACCCAGAAACATGGGATTTGTATTTGATTTTTTCATCACGAAAAAGCTGGGTTGTCAATAAAATTAGTAAGATTACTGTGACGGCATTTGGTATATTTGAATTAATATGGGTATTGTAGGTGTGCGGGCTATTGGCAAGGTTAACAGACATGGAGCTTGACGGCAATTGCACATCCTGTCTTCCTTTTGTGTCTAAATAAATAAATGAACCTTCTGTTCCACAGAAACAGCTCCACCTAGCCAGGGAACTCCAGATGCCCCTGTTTAAGAAGATTTGTAAGTAATATGATTAAAATTGTCCAAGTGGCAGATGTTGCAAAACTCCTCTGTTCAGTAAAAGTAATGCTTTATTACCCAAAGTATCCCAAGTATTAAAAAGGACAAATTTCACCTTCTCTAGCCTTTTGAGCTGGTAAGCATTTGTTTGTTTTCTGTACTGGGCTCTCTGCATTGTTTTTAAGTGCCTTAGTCACAGCTCTACTGTTGCACTTTGGACTGTAATTTTTAAAGGCATTTAAGCACCTAAATATCAGTTTCTTTTTATGCTTTTTCAAGTGATCACAGGCAAAGTAACTGTTTAACCAAAAGAACCATTATAATGCCTTGATTTTCAAGGGAGTATTGAACAGACCATTACTCTGACAGTCTCTTATGACTCAGCTACTGGCTCTTTAAGCAAAAGTTTTTTAAAAACCCACCAAGCTAAACCAAAGTAAAAATAAACAAGCAAAACAATGTGACAAATGTTCAAATGCAGTTACACAAAAATGAAACTTTTTAAAAGCCCACCTCCAACAGGGAGGCAGAATCAGAAAAAAAAAAAAGTATATGCTTAGGGAAGCATTCACAGGGGGGAAAAAAAAAAAAAACCAAACAGAACAAATGCTCAGAAATTGTTATTTTACAAATATTAAACAGCACGTAAAATGAACCTGAGGCCAGGTGCTGAAAGAATGAAGAAAAGCTCCCAAGAAAGGGAAATAAACAAAAAATACTGGTTCTGCCTTTCACAAAAAGAAAATCTTTGCTTTAAAAGCATGTTATTTTTCAGGTTAACTGTGCCTAATAATGTTAAATATCAAAGCTGCTGAAGAATTTATCAGGCAGGGAAACTAGAAATGGATTTTTTTTTTCCCCCAATTATTACTTTTAAGCTTAAGTATACTTTTTCCCAACTGTACTTTTGATTCTTTACTTTTGAAGACTACTTTTGAACTCCAAGTGTCATACACTCAGATTCACCACATACTGTTGAATTTGCTGAGGAGTTTTATTTGGCAAAAAAAATAAACTCAGACATTCGAAGATAGATTCAAGAATATTGCTTTTTATATCCAAACCCAGTGATTAGAACAGCTACGCAGGAAAAGAGAAATTGGATTCAATTTCTTCCTTGGCAAAATGGAGTCTGAACTCACACTGCCTCTTCCCCTGGAAATGATTTAAGGACGCATTCAGGTTTCTGAAAGCCCAGCTGGAGCAGGAGCCCATCTTCACTTGTACAGCAAGAGCCAGTGGGTTTAGCTGGTATAATATCAGCCAGAAGGTAAGTAATGCTCACAGCCAGTGGGCATGCCGAAGGAGACAGAAAGGTGGGTGATAGGCAGAGCAGAGGTGGCTAAACAGCAGCTAGGGATGTACCAGGGATGAGGCAATCTTGCAAGACACAGCACAGCTTTTGGCAGGAGAGGTAGGATTAAGGGTGGGATAAAAGAGCAAGCTCAGGGCTAAAAGGCTTTGGGTGACTTGACAAACAGGTGGAAAGATATTAGGGCAGGAAGGTGCAGGGGGACACAGAGATGGGAGGATTTGGGTCTCTGGTTCGATGAAACTCTCCCCTACGCATTACTAGCAGGAACCTTGGTACGGGAGCAGGCACATGAACACAGCTTCCCAACCCTTGCACAAAACTGCCTCATTTTGGCTATCAGAAATACAGCATTAAGATTTGCACTTGACCTTCCTTTCCCTGCCTAAATGCATAAAAAAACTGGTGAGTGAGCATAGGAATTGAGGAGCAGGCTCCCCTCTTGCCCCCGATTTCTCCTCTCTCACTGGAGTAGCAGGGTCACTTCTCGGTTTCCTTTGCAGGTCAGGGGTAGGACTCAGTACTGCTCCCTCAACGCACGTGGCTTGGCCAAACCAAGCGACCACACTAGCGCTAGGCAGAGAAAAGGTAGCAGCAATACCCTCCTCGTACCCTCCACCCCATAATCCGCGAGGCCTCTCACTCGCCCTCCCTCAGCCAGCCCTGCATCCTGCTCCACAGCCTATCTGCCCTCCCAAGACACTGGCCGCTCAAGACAAAGCCCCACGGTCCCTTCACACCCCTGTACCACAGCCCCCGAAGCCCCCCTCCGCCTGAGGAGGACCACCACCTCTGCCCTTCGTCGCCTCTTCCCTGCTGTCATCGCTGCCTTCCCCTCATGGGTATCTTGGGGAAACGGCTACCGGGGGGATGGGGATGGTGCGGGAGGTGGGCTGCGAGGCAGCAGCCCTGGGGAGGAGATGGCCGCCCTGAGGCGCTCCTCGAAGGGCTGCCGCAGGGACTCGAGCCCTTCACCTCCACACTTCTCTCAGACGTCACTGAAACGAGACTTCCCACTTTGCTGTCAAACTACACGTTTGTTCGGCTCCCTTTTTTCCCCCTTTCCTTTTTTTTTTCCCCTCCTGGCGCATTGTGGCTCTGGCTCATCCTATCTGACAAACCAGCAAAAAGGTTTCCTACCAATTCCCGCAGGACCAGGAGCGCTTCGAGCTTCTGGAGGCACTCACGTTCACACCGCACCTGCTGACGGGCCCTCGGGGGCTCGGACACCACGTCTCCCCGCACCGGAGCTCACCTGCGGTGCAGAGGAGCACCTCAGTCTGGAGGGCCGGCCCAGCCGCTGCGACCCAGAAAGGCCGCCGGCA